TTTTCTTTCTCTTCTATCATTGTCCACCTCTTCTTCTTAGATCTTCCATCATTGGCTCCATTTTCAGCGTTCGAAAATGATTTTACAGAGAACCGGGTAACCCACCCAACCAATGGGTTACTCGAGTTTTTACCGGTTGATACCGATTTGGATCAGTTGACACCGGTTCAGTTTTTAGCCGGTTTAGAGCGTGATTCGGACCGGACAAGTGGCCGGTTCACCGGTTTCCGGTCTGAGCCGGTCCGGTCCGGTTTTTTGTACCTTGGTATACACACTCTCGATGGTTTGAGGAGCCAAAGGAATTATCTTAATCAATTTAGAAATTTTTTTCCATACAGAATCCTCATAAAGGTGCAAGACTCATGCATGATCTAATAATTAGTGTCAATAAATATAATATAACTCCATTAATGTTTATTATATAAAATCTAAATCTTAGATGTCGCTATCCTTTTGGAAAGCTTAATTTTTTAAAAAAAATATATAATTTTTTTATTCATACATTATTTGTGTGAATTTATTTAATTATATATAGTATGAAGAGAAGATCAAGTTTTAAATTCCATATTCTCTTTTATTTTCTTTCCTATGAATTTTTTATCTTTTATTTTAAATTTTAAATTGGAATTCTCTTTCTTCAATTTTTGTTTATATTTTCAGAATTTTTGTTTTTTAAAATAAATCCCTTAAAGTGACGTTAAATATCAAATTATTTAAATTTTTGAAAACAACATTTATCACCGGCCGAAGTTGTGTTTTGTGGTTTAAAAAAAAAAAAAAACAAGGAAAAGATCCCTTCATCTGCTAGGTTTCTTGGGCCCCAAGTCCACAATTCTCAAATTCATCTGAGCCGTCCAATTGAAAATAATACGAGCCGTTGTCTGGCGAAGCAGAAGAACGGAGAAGCAATTAATGCAGTTCTTATTCGACGGAGTCAGTTACGGCTCTGTAATTCCAATTTTCCAAGAATTCCTTTCAACGGCTAATTATTCAAATATTCCGACGAATTAGTTCCAACGTTTAATTATTCAAATATTCCGATGAATTAGTTCCAACGGCTACATCATTCGACGGATATATTTGAACAGTATAATTACTTGGGGGAGCCTTATTTGGTCGAAGAAAAACTTGGGTGAGCTTGGGAAAGATTAGTATTCTACTTGGCCAATGTTCGGTACTGTGGCTTTATTGAGAGTGGAAATTGGTTTGTTTGAGTCGGGCGGTCATCATACGATCCTATTCAGGCGTATCTTTGGTGAGAGTTTCCTGATTTATGGCACGAGACTGGTAGACTTTCTCGATTCTCTCCTGATTTATCGATCTCATCGCTCAATTTCCTCCAAACACATTTCTTCCCTCACGCAAGTGTATCCTCTTCCATTGGTTTGTTGGGGATCTGCTCTGTTCTCATTGGGTACTGGTACGTGAGATAAGTAATCCTTTCGATATGGTTTCAATCTTTGGTTTGATGAATCAATGGTCCGTTTAAGAGAAACGCAACACTATTTGCTTGTGATAATTCTAGCCGGAGAACACTACCGTTGAACCCTAACTCTAGAAGAAGCTCGAAATTGAAATTTAAATGCATATTTAAGTTGCATTTGTGTATTGCGATGTAACTCTTGGCTCCTTGTTCTATAGATAAATTTCATTTACTTGTGCGTTCGTTTATGTATGGAAGGTGCATGGTGCTTTTAATACCTGAGGGTTGTTTCAGATGATTCTGTTTTTGGCAGAGCGCAGGAAAAACTTTGTAAAAAAAAGCCATGAATTAACATTTCCCAAAATTATTTTCTTTTCCCTGTTTTGTTGATTCATTGTTAATGTGGAGACCGCAGCCTCAAGGGAACATGACTGACCAAATCATATAAATTCCGGGAGTATGCTGTTAGGTTTGTATTTTAATAATTTATATAGGAGGCATTGATCATCTACAAAAATTGATAAATCATCCGTCACTTGGCTGATCATGATGCCCAAAATAAAGAAGCAAGACAACTTCGAACGTTGCGGGTATTATTTATATTTCAGATTTTTTTTTTGTGTGCGCTCTACCTTCTAAATGTGCTTACATGTACTGTGTTTATACGATCCGTAAAATAGGATCCTATCTGGTCAAACTTTAATAGTCGACAATTCCTTCTTTTTGTTCTTATTTTGTTATTTTCAATATATTACTGATCTAATTGCTTCTTGTGGTTATTTTGCGATTTTTTTATTGAAAAAATTCACTCTTAAGATCCATTATCTTATTATTTTAAATTTGTTTTGAAAATAAATATTAGTAGTTAAAAATATTTTAATTTTAAATATATACGAAACGTTCTATTTTTAAAATTATTAACGTTCTATCTTTAAAATTATTTTAAATTGTTTATCTATTTAATTCATTTAGTAAATTTGTATTTTTTTAACCATCATTAAATTATTTTATGCACGTCAACCACCTTTTATTTTTCTTTTAAAAAAAATGATTTATTCTAATCAAAACCTCAACAATTGAATCCTATGCGTAGTATTTCAAATATACTCCGCGAATTTGATGGGTAAGATGGACGAGATGGGGAGAAGCAATCAGGGGTTTCATCATGCAATTGATAGCAACAATCATGTAAATTGCGAAGGCTTAAAATCAACAAAGCGGGTAAGCTTCTCTCTGTCTTTTAGTTTCTTTCTATAAAATTTTTACTCCTACATATTGTGTAAGTAATTTTCTCTCTGTGTTTCTTATCCTTAGCATTTGAATAATTGTGTTCTTTTTACTAGGTAATGTAGTTGTGACTTGTTCTACTTCTTCTCCCCTTGCACTTTTCGGTGTAACCATGATGCGTTTGATTTCAAAGAATTTATTCATTGGAGTGACTGAGACACTATATAACTGATGTTTGAAATTTTGAAGTAGGATGACGTTTTATGAGATCTATCCTCCTGCTAGCTATCCATTCTCTCTTCTCCTTTGTTTTTGTGTTTCTCTTTGCATATGTCATTAGCTTTATTACCAAGTTGCTTCCCGCTTCAAGGTTGTATTTTTTTTTTTTTAAATTTTAGTAGTACATATTTTCACGTTGTGGTTGATATTTTTGGATTGTGATTGTTAGTGGATTATTGTTCCTGTTATCATGTTTTGGTTGATCATGTCGGATGCCTTCAAAGGGGAGCAATTGTCCCCCCCCCCCCCCCCCAAAGGCTGTGTTATTTGTTTTTACTTGTTTGATTGTATTCCCCATCAATGATTTGTGTTATAGATATGGTGAGTGATTTTTCTGGAAAGAATTAGTTATCAAGTTTCCTTGTTATGACTGCTATTTCTTATGATTGTTACTAGATCGCTGTGGTTGTTTACTGTGATTAATCTTTTGTTTGTGATCAATTTTTAGGTGAAAAGCTTGAATGCCTTCAAGGGGGAGGGATTTTGTGGCTGCCTTCCCCATGAAGGCTATGTTATTTGTTTTCACTTGTTTGTTAACATTATGTTTTTATTGTTGTGTTTGTTGATAGATTGTGATCGTCACCAGATTGTTGTGTGTGTTTATTATAATATAATCCCTTTTGTTTGCATTCATCCTGAAAGTGTGGTGTGCCCTTGTGGGAATTTTTTGTGGTTGCCTCTTGGTTAATATGTGGATTGATTCTGTAATTGTTGTTTTTAGTTGTTTGCGGAATAACATAATTTTTCATGTTGGGCTTACTATTCGTTAGACTGTGTTTGTTACTATTGCTGTGTTTTTTATAGTAATTTTTTTTTTTTCACTTGCGGTTTGATTGAAAGTCTTGGTGCCCTCAAAGGGGAGGGTTGTTGTGGTTCCCTTTTATTGATGAATGAATTGATTGTAATGGTGAATATATTTTTTTGTGGGAGTGAATTTCTTGAAATGGATTAGTTACCAGGTCGCCTTGCTCTTCATCTTTGTTTTTAGATGTTTTGTTCCGGTGTTAGAGTGACTGTTTTTGGATTGTCAATGGATTGTTGCTGTGCTTGTTTATTGTAATTATTCTTTTTCTTAAAGTCTTGGTGCTCTTAAGGGGAGGGATTCTGTGGTTCCCCTTTCATTGATGTGTGAATTGATTAGTTGTTAGTGTAAACATACTCTTTCAGTAGAATTGAGCTTCTTGAAATGGATTAGTTGTTAGTGTTCCTCTTCTTGGTGGATATTTGAATATATCATGGTAGGTTATGTGCTTCATTTCCCGTCCAAAATAATTGTCTTGGCATGATGAAAGCGCATGTGTATGCGCATAACGGTTATGCCACCCACATTTTGTGGATGAAAATAACCTTATTGAATTACATGAATGTCTCTCACAATAGATGCTATATGAGAATATAGATGCTACATGAATGTCTCTCATGATCATTGTAGTTTGGTGGCATTTCTATGATTGCACAGGCATAGTCGGCTGCCAGAATTTGTTATAGTCTTTAGCAATGAATTCTCCTCTTTATAAGATGATTGAACTAGCAAAATAGATAGTATTGAACTATCAAAATAGATAGTCCTAGAGTAGGCCCAACATGGGTCCCCTTGTTGGGCCTTATGAGATTACTCATATAGTTCTCTTAAATTTCCATATTGGAGGAGAAAATAAAATTCTCTCAGATAGTTCTGGATCATATGAGATTACTCATATAAGAGTAATCATAACAATGTGGTTTATTGGTGAAACTTTTGGCCTTAGAAATTCAAGCCAGTTAGTAGGGGCATAGCCCATTTATAGGATTTCACAAGCACAGTTCGTTGCCAAAATTTATAGGATTTCACAAGCATAGTTCATTGCCAAAATTTATGGTTATTGTAGTTTGGTGACATACGTCCTCTCCAGGAGAAAGCATAATTTCTAAATTGTTTAGTGTATTCTTTCATGCGGAGCGAAGAATATCTCCTCCGACTAGTTTGGTAACAGAGAAAGGATCTTCCCTGTAAGATTTGTCCTCCGACTAGTTGTCCAATTCAAATGGCTCGTATTCTTGTAGTGATTCAAATTCAACAAAAAGGTAAGGTTCTCTCCATCTTTAGTTTCTTTTTAAATGGTTAGTCCTACTTGCTCTCCAATTCAACAGACATTCTACCATGCGCTGGGAGCTTGATGGATTTTATCTAAAGAAGTTGAAAGGTTAGCCTTTAGTCATTTTCTCTACCCTTCTTATTTTTTTAAAAAATCACGTCTTATGTTTTTATCTTGTTATCTTGTATGCAGTAGCTTATGTGAATATTGATGGACTTGTAACAAAGTATTCCTTTAATGTGAGGCAAAACATATTTGTATAGTTGCTTAGTGAATTCAGATATGGAGCAAAAACATAAAAGGCGTCCAAGAAAGGGGGAGGAAGGGAAGAACTTCTCTCCATCTTGTGGTGACTGAAAATCAACAAAATAAGTAAGCTTCTTTCTCTCTTCATTTTTCTCCCTATAAGATCTCTCCTTTGACTAGCAATTCAATATTTAGTTTGTTTTTGTAAAATGTTTCCTCCTACTTGCTCTTTGATTCGATAGATAAAATGTTTCCTTCTCTTCATCATTAGCTTGTTTTTGTAAAATTCTTACTACTACTTGCTTTCCAATTCGTTCTTCGTCTCCTTTTTTCCCCCCCTTTGTGATAGCTTGCACTATGAGTAGTTTGCTCATTCGTTTATATGTTCGAATAAGTGTTTTTTGTTATTGGCATCAATTCCTCGTATGCCAATTTTTTAATCACTAGATCCTAACGTAGTATTTTGGAAGGGGTTCCTTTCACTAGTTTGGAATTATGAAGTCCTATTAGTTTTTTCCATTCACTATCCCTCTTTTTCTCGGTTTTTGCATTTTTCCTTTTATCTCAATTATTCTTGTGATGTTCCATTTCCATTCTTGTGATGTTCCATTTGTAAGCTTGAGAAGTTTGGACCCCTTCAAGGGGAGGAATTTTGTTATTGTCTTCCACTTTAATGTTGTGTGAATTGAATTGATGGTGATGCTGTGTTTGGTGTGATTCTTCTTTTGCTTGCTTGAGTTCCATTTGAAACTTTCCTCATTGGGCTTGATTTTGGGGCGTCCTTCTGTCATCATTTCCAAATTTTTGTGGCTGTTTATTGTGATTAATTTTGTTTGCTATCAAAGTTCTATCAAGGGGAAGGAGTTTGTAGTTGCCTCTCCTCTTTTATAATAAGTCGTGTTCATATAATTCCTGCTAGATTTGGTTGTGATTGTTCTCTTTTTGTGGTTGTTTATTGTGATTAGTTTAGTTTGTAATTGCCTCCTCTTGTTATGATTGTTAATGTGACTGTTTATTGTGATTATTACTAGATTGTTTGTATTGGCCTCTTTTTTTCTATGTTGTATTCATTTTGTATTTGTCATTCAATGTCTGAACTATAATTGTTGCTAGATTGTTGTGTCTGTTTGTCGTGATTATTGTCTTATCCTAAGTCATTTTCCTAAAATGATTGAACATACTACCTCTCGCGTGAAAGTTGCATTTTTTAAGTTGTACAAAGTCATGTTATTTTTGGATGGTGATTGTTGCTAGATTTTGTGGTTGTTATTGTGATTGTTTTGATTGTTATATATGCTTGCTAAAGTTTGAAGTTTAGATGGTTTAAAAGCCTTGATTCTGGCTAGATTTTTGTGATTGTTAATTTTGATTACTTGTTTGCTATCAAGTTTAGGAACAAGGGTTTATGTAATTACCTCTCTGTGCGCGCCCTTTGAGTTTGGAGGAGATTAGGAGTCCTCAGAAAAAAGTTATAGATAGAGCAATTTATAGTTGTTAATTTTGATTACTTGTGTTTGTTATCAAGTTATATTAGGAAGAACAAGGTTGTAAGTTCAAATCTCATTGTCGAGTTTAGAATTTTCTTGTTAGGCTATGTAACTCCCTCTCTGTAAGCACCCTTTTGAGCATGAAGGGCCCTCAAGAAAAATTTACCTAAACTTTCATGTACCAGAAAAAAAAAATTGTATTTAGAGGTGTTTATGGTTGTGTCCTCTTTTCTTAGTTGTGACTGTTCTTCTGCTTGCTTGGTTAAGTTCTGTTTGAAAGTTAGATGCTCTAAAAGGGCTTGATTTTTAGAGCTTCCTCCTGTTGGATGTGAATGGCACCTATACTGTTGCATGTCTTCAAAGGTGCTTGAATGTCTTGACTTTTACTTTTGTACTCTCAAAGGTGTCATGTAGCACCTGCTTTTTTGCAAAGGTCGTCACGGCGAAGGAGACCTTTTGCTGTGGCAAAATGCCAAAACACAGTGTTTGATTTAAGTATTATTGCCGCGGAAAAGGTAAAAAAAAAAAAAAAAAAAGGTAAATATGGTTAGGGTTGCGTCGTCACTTTGAGTTTTTACACGAGGAATAGTTTTGCTTTGTTAAGGTTTTCTTGAGGCAATTTTCTAAGAAGTTAGTGAACTCCGGAAGTCAGCAAGTGATCACCAAATTGTGTTTTCTCCTCACCCTTTTCTTTTGGTTCTCCTCTAAGGCTAGGATTTTGTTATCTCTGAGATAAATCTTTTGCGGATTTCTAGCTAGATGATATTTTTCTTAGAGTTGTAGTAGACGTTTGTGAGGATGTCTTTCGGTTTGGGTAAAATCCAAACCATGATTTTAAAAATGATTTTACTATATACGAAGTAAATATGTGATAGGAATTATCTTGATTTGTGTGTCAAAAATGCTTATGGGGGCTACCAAACACCCCCTCTGTGTTTTCTCTCCCTTTTCTTCTGGTTCTCCTCGAAGGCTAGGATTTTGTTATCTCTGAGATAAACCTTTTGCGGATCTCTAGCTAGATGATATTTTTCTTAGAGTTGTAGTAGACGTTTGTGAGGATGTCTTTCGGTTTGGGTAAAATCCAAACCATGATTTTAAAAATGATTTTACTGTATACGAAATAAATATGTGATAGGAATTATCTCGATTTGTGTGTCAAAAATGCTTATGGGGGTTGCCAAACACCCCCTCTGTGTTTTCTCTCCCTTTTCTTCTGGTTCTCCTCTAAGGCTAGGATTTTGTTATCTCTGAGATAAACCTTTTGCGGATCTCTAGCTAGATGATATTTTTCTTAGAGAGTAGACGTGTGTGAGGATGTGTTTGGGTTTTGGTAAAACCCAAACCATGATTTTACGGCTGGACAGAAATAAATATGTGATAGGAATTATCTCAATGTGTGTCAAAAATACTTATGAAGGTTGCCAAACACCCCCAAGTGTTCTATTATTATAGGTAACGTAAATTTTTACCAGACTCTTCCTGGTTTCTAAGGGCTTTTAATGTAAATTCTTCAAGGACTGGACAAAAATTTGATACGACTAATTATTATGACAACAACTTAAGACTGGACAGAAAGCCTTAAAGTCATGTTCTTAGTTTTTTCCTTATGTTTATTGATGTGATCTATGAATTTCGCCATAGGGAAAAACTATGTCGTTGCGGTGAAACATGCATTAATGTCGCCCCGACAAGTGCTAGGTGATTCATATGAAGAGCCCATATTTTTGTTGTGATACGAATTTGTAAACTGAAATGCATTGTGGTATGTTATACTTTTGCATGCTACTGTGACTATGACATGAATTGAACCCTAATTAAATAATTGATAAGAATTGGGAATTACGAAATATTATGATTGTGTGTTTTCTTATAAACTGCAAGAATGGAGAGATGTTGGCAATTATAATTGTAAATTTTGTTATATACCCTAAGGGCAATACACCTTCATCTACGACACTTATAAGAATGGAGAGTGTATACCAGGACATATCTATGAATTTTCTATAGTGAAAAAGCAGCCGAGGCATAGCACTCGTCGTGGTGAAAAGCCCAGATTTGTGCTGTGTGATATTTGTACAAATTTGTAAACTAAAATGAAATGTGGTATGTTGTACTTCTACAGGTTGATATGTTGCTATTATGATTTTGACATGAACTGAACCCTGATATGGGGTAAATACCTGATAAGAATTAAGAATCTGAACAATTTACAGTGGGGTAGCATACTGGGCAATTTATTATCTATCGGGGTATAGCTATCCCTTCCCTGGAAGAGCCCATGCCCGTGTGTATGCTCTGTCACATGCGTGAGGAAAACTTGTAGGAGTTATCAGTCACATGGTAAGCCTTAGCCTATGGGTTCAATTTTGCAAGTATAAGAAGAGAATATAAAGCAAGAATTAAACTAACAAGTAATGTTGATGGTACCCTAAGGGCAATACACCTTCATCTACGACACTCTAGGAGTGTATACTAAGGACATATCTATGAATTTTCTATAGTGAAAAAGCAGTCGAGGCATAGCACTCGTCGTGGTGAAAAGTTGTGCTGTGTGATATTTGTACAAATTTGTAAACTAAAATGAAATGTGTTATGTTGTACTTCTATAGGTTGATATGTTGCTATTATGATTTTGACATGAACTGAACCCTGATATGGGGTAAATACCTGATAAGAATTAAGAATCTGAACAATTTACAGTGGGGTAGCATACTGGGCAATTTATCTATTGGGGTATAGCTATCCCTTCCCTGGAAGAGCCCATGCCCGTGTGTATGCTCTGTCGACTTTAGTCAGTTCGCATCATGCGTGAGGAAAGCTCATAGGAGTTATCAGTCACATGGTCAGTTCGCATCATGCCTGTGTGTATGCTCTTTTAGCTACTCACTTAGGGGTAGCCTATGGGTTCAATTTTGCAAGTATAAGTAAAAAGAGAATATAAAGCAAGAATTAAACTAAGAAGTAATGTTGATGGTTATGACTTGTTATTCTGAGTGATAAGGTTATTCTGACTTGTAAACTTTGAATATTGTTATATGCTTTCATTCTATAAGGTTATTCTGAGTGATGAATTTTTTACCTGTTATTCTCACATGGTGCCTTTTAGGAGTGTCAGCAGTTGGTTTTTGAATAAAAGATAGGTTTTCAGGCTTGGTTTCGCATTATGGTCAAGGTAAGTAAAATCTTTTATAACCATAACATGGTTCTTTATGGACTCTATGTTTTTGTTCCTTTTATCATGATTATATCATGATTATGTCGGAAGTATAGTAAGAAAGTTGTGGGATTATGTCGAGATTCTAAGAAATATGAATGCTTCTTGCTTGAGACCAAAATTACTTAGTCCTATATTTGCTTGCTCAAGTCGTATTTGAAAGTTGGAAGTCCTCATGAACTGTAAGCCTGATTGTTTGAATTTCCTTAGGATTATGGATTTCAGCCACATTTGAATTATACATAACTTTAAATTAGACAAGGTATTGACTCGAGAGTTCTCCCACAAGCTAGGCATAAGCAAGGCATTAACTTGTATTTCAATTAAGATTCTTTATCTTTTAAATTAGGATTAAGGTTGAAATTGATTAGGATCTCAATTTGAATTTCGATTCGATTTATTATAATTTTAGACGCACCCGTTCTGAGCATACTAATTTAGCATCAGAGTCACTTCTTGCAGCTTATAAGCTTTCTTTTTTATAACACCCCGTTCACCTAAAACTTGTTAGCGTACTAATTTAACATCTTTATTAGCATTTACATCACTGCCCAACGATGGTCGAATATCATTTCAACAACCATGTTTGAAACAGACCATCGAAAACCTTCACATTTTATTTTGCCTAGAAGTTTTCTCAATGTGACTCATACAATATGGTTTTCAAGAAAGTGTTAAAACAAACGTTTTATGAATTTTGGCCCGTTTCACGCCATTTATTTTCGATTTCACACCATCGAAAGGGCTTGTAGAAATCCATTTTTGCGGGAAGTTCATGTTGGCAACAGCACCTAGATTCTCCAAAAATCTAATAGATCCTTTCAACTCTTTAAATCTTGTTGATGCCGCACTTGTAAAAAAAAAAAAAAGATAAATCTGAGTTGTGTCTTATAGAAAAACTATCCTTAAGAGCTATTTCACAACTATCGTGTCTTATAGATTAAACAGATTGTTCCTGCAAGAGTAGAGTGAGCAGAACAGCTAAAGGTAAAAAAGTGGCACTTCCTTTCGGTGTTTTTTTCCTAAACTTCACTCTCATTTGTCCTTTTAGGCTACGGATCATAATAGCACATGGCAATTAATTAACTTGTCTTATAAAATCTTCGATTACGAACATTGAATGTTAATTAGACAGATATTTTCAATAAAGTGTCCCGTATCGCATTTGACTCGTGCACTGGGGGTGAGGGAAAATTGCAGGATTTGTCTCCGGTGGCCAGTTGTGCATGCAACCCTCACTTCTCTTCTTGACCCATTTGCCCAAGACATTTTTATTTGGACACCCACAATCCCAAGTGTGGGACTCTTTCTTCGACACATCTACACAATTTACAACAATACCCATTATTAGTTACACACATAGACTCTCTCTTCTTGACCCTATTGTGAACTCACACATCTTGGCATATGCTAGGGGCATTATTAGTTAGATTATACCCCTTCCCCCACATTTTCGCTATTAACAACATTTTTGCATGTTAAGATGGCCATGTGCATGCTTGATGCATAATGCTTTAGAGATTTCGGCACGATTTCATAGGAGGGCCTCCAATTTTTCCTATTCAGTAGTTCGATTTATGCTATGATGCTTTAGGCATAGCCTTTCCCAAGTTAGAGGTTCAAACGAGGAAAGGCTATGGTAGATACCTGTACCCAAAGACGAGGAAGGGCAAGTGGCGAAATGCTTTGGGGAGTTGAAAATAAGTGTAAATTTGGAGATTCTCGAAAGGAACTGAATCCATGGGCAGGCAAGCTGAAACATCCTAGTAACCAAAGGAAAAGAAAGCAAAAGCGACCCTAGATGGCTAGAGTCTAGTAGCCAAAAGCATCACTAGCTTACACTCTAACCTGAGTAGTATGGGGCATGTGGAATCTCTCATGTGAATCAACAAGGACCACCTTGCAAGGCTAAATATTCCTGAGTGATCGATAGCGAAGTAATACCGTGAGGGAAGGGTGAAAAGAACCCCTATCAAGGAGTGAAATGGAACATGAAACCATAAGTTTCCAGGGAGGAGCTCGGGGCTCTAACCAACGTGCTTGTTGAAAGAGTGAGCCCACCAACAATGGCTTGGTTAAGGGAACCCACTGGAGTAGTAGCGAAATCGAGTCTTCATAGGACAATTGTCACTACTTATAGACCCGAACCTGGGTGATCTATCCATGACCAAGGCGAAGCTTGGGTGAAACTAAGTAGAGGTCCGAACCAACCCCGTAAAATGCCACTCGAACCCAGAGCTAGCTGGTTCTCCTCGAAATGTGTTGAGGTGCAGTAGTTGACTGACTGGACATCTAAAGCATTGTTTCGGTGTGGGCCACGAGAGTGGTACCAAATTGAGGCAAACTCTAAATGGTAGATATGACCTCAAATAATAGGGGTCAAGGTCGGCCAGTGAGATTATGAAATCATTGAGAGCTTGCGCTCAACCTCACCAAAATACATTCTATAGCACTTTCTCATGCTATACGAGGGGACCAATAATTTATTTTAATACTAGCAGAATTAACGAACGACTTGTTCTTCTTACCCATTAAACCTTCTCCATGGGATCACCACTCACAAGGTTGGGTTACTATCATTGTCAATTTCAAGTTGGAGTCCCATTTTTCTCAACTGATTTGTTTCTTTCAGGGTTTTGTTAACTTTTGACCTCACAAAATTGATTGAGATAACACCACAATTTTTAAGACATTCACATGTATCAAACGATGTGTACTTGAACTATTGTTCTCTTTCTGCCAATCACAGTCTATTGACATTGAGTGTCGGTTTTTACACCAAAATATTTGCCAATAAGTTTTCAACAACTTAACCTCCAATCCCCCCAAAAGATGAATAATTATTGGTGAATTATCTCTATACCACGGGAATCTACTTTACATGATATCAATATTTATAGAGTGCCCTTCAAATATTTAATTTTCCCTCATAGGAATTCATATTTAGATATGCTCAGCCTTATAATAAAAGTTACATCAAGGGTATTTAATGGAATAAATTCTCAAAGTTGTGCATACACAGCAGCTACACAAATACCTCAAACAAATTAGCATGATAAGAAATATTCTCTGAAAACATCATATTATTGGTCCTTTACAATTTACTTAAAGCCACATTTGTTTCACCCATGGTTCCATTTAAATTTTGAAGCTACAAAACATAACATAATATTTCATGTCCACTTTAAAAATTCAATATTCATAATAGTTGTGCATGCTCATGCATATTTGTACCAAGACAAATTAAAGAACATTTATCTCTACACTTGGACAAATGATTAAATTTTCATATCCACAGAAAAATTTGATAATTTACAAAATTTGCTCTCAAAAGCTAACAAAGCCTCCACTTAATTGATTTTTCTTTTTTAAATCGCCATAAAGATTTGTAAAATGAGGTTAACACAATTAAAACACATTTTTTCTCCATTAATATTATTTCTGTAAAGTACCCCACATTTTAGGTGCTCCACACTTTTATAGGAAAATTTCTTTCATACCTCATCAATAATAATCCTAATTAAATCAGCATCTCACACCACTATCTCCCCCCACTCTAACTAAATTAGAATTTTCCAGAGTTTACATAACAGTATCATAAAATATGCCAACTCACCATGCGCCAAATTTGGGAAACTTCGACTTCCACTAAACAATTGTGACTTTTTTTGGCCAACCATAATTGTGACATTAAAATATTATTGTTCCGCATCACCATAGGTATTTTGCCTCCACACATTATATACAATATTTTTTGAAAATAACTTCACCATTTATTTTCACATCCTGTAACTATTACTATACACCACACATGGACTATATGATATGAACCGCCGCCAAATTGAGGAAAGCTAGTTGCCCATCCAATATTTCAATTGACTTTATATATAACATTGATAACAAACATAACAAAAACACAACAACAACAACAATAATAATCATTTTATTAACCAGTTGAAAGGAGCCACCAACAGATCATCATAAACCAATTAAACTTCCAACATTAGTAATATTTTAAGAATGGGGTTATGAAAATTAACAGAATTTAATAATGATAATCCCTTTTAAAATAACCTTTTAGGAATTGCCGACAATATGTTTCTTGTCTTCACCAATTCAATCACATCCATCTCATATTTCCTCCACCAATATCCATGGAAAGAGACTAAATTCACCAACGAGTAATAAGTTAAATTACTCACGTAATCATATCTATTGGGATTTTAAACGTACCTAGAGATATTTTTGATATGTTTTTTGCCTATACGAAATCTGTTTATTGGCATGGATATAGACTTTTGGTTTTATAGCAAATGCACAGAGAGGAAGAGTTTTGCAAAGAAGTTTCTTTAAGAGTCTAGGGAGTAGTTTTTTTGCCAAAAAGCCTGATCATGCATATCTGTTGAAATAACTGTAATCCCACTCACAAATAACCGTCACTAAAATCCAAATTCAAGATTGGGTATTTTACTAATATCTACCACAATCTTTTGGTGAATTACAATTGGACCCCAAATCTTTTTGGGCTTTGACCTAATCCATCATTTTTTCCCAACAATATCCATTAAAACAACGCAGTCTCATGAAACTGACACGCATAATTGCATTTTATTATCTGCACATT